ATTTAAACATAAAATATATTTCAAAAACAATAAATAGTTACCAAAAATAGTTGAAAAGCAAAGAATGGGAACGAAGACCAGGAATAGTCAAAACTTTCCATAAGAGTGCCGCCGACTACCGGACCAAATGCATCCCTGATCATTAAAATTATTAAAACATTTGGTCAGGAAGAAATTAAAATTATATAATGAATGTCACAATAAATACCCCAAAGCCTCAAATGTGGTGAACAGTGATGATAGGACTGCCGTAGTGGACGAGCACTCTATAAACCCTCCTCTACTATTCATTTCAAAATTAAATTTGTAATTAAAATTGTAAATACTATGATAATAATTATACATACACTGTCTCTCGAGTACCCTGAGCAAATGTTCCCACCAATAATGCACTGATTCCCAGCCCAAGCAATACTTGCGATATAATTACCAAATACAATTGACTGTAGGGAATGGCATACATTTTATATTAATAACATTTGCTGTAATTTGAATTTAAGTAATATATTTACGGCTCAATCTCTATCATAGGAATGGGTCCTATAATTGTCAGACATATCAGCGCCGACAGGCATCCGATTAAACTAATTGTGAACTTGTTATTGATTTTATGGGCCAAATGCTCCCAAATGTGATTGAATGCCACAAGACTTACACCCGATATCAAGAATATGAGGCCAACCATTGAAGCCGACAACTCTGTTATCTATTCATTGTACCAATAATTTAAAACTTTATCTAAAATGACTGTATAGTAGTCATACATCTTCCAAATGCAACTCCAGTGTCGTTGTATTGAATCCAATGAGAGCGCCGGCATTCATGGTAATCAACACATTGATAATGATTCCCACATTTGATAGCAACTGACGGTATGTTACGTTCCCCTTATTCTCATATAATTCTGTGTAATAAGATTTAAACAACTTATAAAAATTATAAGATATTATAAAATAATACATACTTTCAGTTTTAACAGTGAGGAATATGACCAGGGATGTGAAGATAGCGATTATACCGAACACATAAAACGGTACACAAAAGCCTACTCCGTATTGATCGCCCAACTATTGACACAATTAGTTCACTGACTTAGTTAATTAACATTATAGAAACAATATTATATTTTATTATTAAAAATTATTATATTAGAATTTTTTATATTTATTATGATATTAAAAAGTGTAAGACAATTACCTGGAACACAAAGCCAGCCAATGGGGGTCCGATAATCAGTCCAATTGAATAGTATACCTCTATTTTGCCCTAAAATTTAAAATTTATGGTGAAATTTACAACAAGTTTTATATGAGACAATAATGATTTATAATGTATTTTCTCACATAAACTATTTCCAAATTTTTGGTGAACTCGAGACAAATGATTGTATAGCATGTCGTGAAATAAGTTCCCATTTGAAAGCCAACCACCAATTGAATACATATGGCTATCGGCACGAAGAAAGTCGCTGAATAACACCATTCAAGTGACCTAATCGTATTCAGTCACCCTGGTTAGATTACTGGTCAAAAGGACAAGTATTCAAATCATACCCAAATCCGATGATAGAAATACCGAATAACAAGACACATGTTGTAAGTATATATCTCGGTCTAAATCTCGATAACTGTAAAAATCAAGGTAGGTGCTACTGATATATAATTTTAATTTAAGCAGGCTATATTTACTAGTTTTCTAGATAGTATTGATCCGGCAATAAATCCAACATTAATCACACCGTTTATGACTCCAATCCAAGTGTCAGTAATACCTCTATCCTCTGCCTATAGAAACATAGTTTGAAAATATTTATTAATTATGTAATAAAACAATATCTATAGATATAGGGTATATTTTTTATAGCTCTGAACTTATTTTGATGGACTTATATTTTGTCAGTTCAAATGTTTTTTCATATGATTCACAGATTTTATGATATAAATTTAGATAACATCAAGTAAATCATAAAAGATTACTTTTATTATCAAATAACTAATTGTACTAAATAGTTTGTATTTTTGTTAATGAATAAGTTAGTATAATAATAATAAATATGAATTCATAATTAAACATATTTTATTATATCTTACAATATTCAATATTAATATTCAGTACGAGGAGCATACATTACATTACATTAGTATATTAATTGAATCGGTACATTAGTATATTTTAATTCAAACTTAAAGTATTTATTGAATACAAATATATTTAAAATTAAATTGTTTTAAATAATTATTTTCTAGTCTTTAATTTTTAAAGTATACAGTAATATATAATTGCAATTGATTAATATATAAAATACGTACAACTGATGGGAAAAATGGTCCGTCAAGTGATGCGGCAGTACTGGTCAATACACTCCCGAAACACAATACTATTAACAAAACCAATTGGTTTGAATCAAATTGGCTTTTGAATAGATTGCTGAACCAACGCGTTATGGCATTTGTCTCAACGCTATTGTGATTCTGATTCTCACAAATAGATTGCTTTTTATTATTACAACCAAAGCCTTCTTCCATCTAAGTATACACTAAGACTGAGAGTAAAAGCTTTTCACCCATTTGTGAGGAATTTATATGATTTTTAGCAATTAATTGTACACTACTTTTACATGATAGCATGGGCGCCGGGAACATTTCTGTATCATTAGATAAATAAAATTATATCTTAATAGCCATCATATGATATAAAATCTCGGGCTGTGCTTATTGTAACACCCCCTAAATTCGGATAATTATTTTTTTTAACCTGGCCAGTTTTAATATAAATATATTCTATTTACTATCATTTAAACCTTTTGTAACTATCTATATGTCAAAATATAATTACAAAAGATCAATGAACACTATAAAAGATATGACTTGTAATATTTCAGTAGATTATTCAACTTATTTGGTTATAATATAAGAGCAAGGTACTCTACTAGCAAACATATATAATTCTTATAGTTAAGAATATTGAATCTTGGTTTAAAACAAATATTTTAAAATTTAAATAATTTCTAAAATAGTAATGCTATACCGATAATTTATTAAATATTACATTTTAATAATAATTACCTGGTACTCTTTAAGAAAAATTCTATTACAATTTAATTGTTGTGTTTCGTAATACTGGGATCATAAATGTTTTTAAAAAATTATATTACTCTGTTCTATGAAATACAAAAAAATATTTATTATATAACTAGCAACAAGAATCACTGAATCTCAGTTTATTATAATTATCTTGTAACTTAATCAATGAAAAATTAAATTTTTTTAATGCTACTTGTTTTCATAAAAATAAACTAAACAAAATAAGACCTGATATTTTATTGTTTGTTAAATGCTTGACCATAAACTGCAAGCTAACATTTATATTTATAACATAACAACAATGTAGTTGAAAGATACCTTAGCACCTAGTATCCAATTATTATGGTATAGTTATATTCTAGTTTAAACCAATATCCTAGTTAAATTCTAAGATAATTACTCATTGTATAATAATAATTAGTTGATTATTAATAATTATTATGATTAAACTAATGAAAGAAATGGCAATGGCGTGTGTATAGCATATATAAATAAAACTTGAAATTAAATGAACATAATTTGACGATATTTTAGACCTTTTACGTGAGATATTGTTTAGATATCAACAGTTATGAACAGTTATCTCTAAATTGTAGATTTTTTATTAATTTGTTTTTTTGCACACTTTATTATCACATTCATTATATTGTATAATAGCACTGATAGTCATCCTTTGATAATTAAAAAGACATCCTATGATAAATATTTTATTAAAATCATATTTAACACTTTATTTTAGTGAAACATTATTTTTCATAAATAACTTATTTTATAACCTATTTGCTTGTTAAAATAATTTCTAGAATTTATTGAATTAAACAACATATATTTTGTTTGTAAAAATTAGTAAAATTATTTTTTATATAAATTAAACAAAGCAAATGTATAATAAGAGAAAATATTTATATTATTTTCCAAATACAATAACAGATTTTTACTGTCATTTACTTATTATTGAAAATAAATTATTAAAACAAATATTATTAAGTTAAATGTTATCAAAACATATAATGTTATTTTCATTTAATGTAAAATCCTATAGGTTAATATTAGACTAGTACTTTTTAATTTTAAATAATTCAATTAAAATTAATATAAATATATCGACAGACAGTATAATTATATAAAGCATGAATTGAGTACATAAGCTCTTATATAATCATTTATTGAATTTATTTTAATCACATTTTGACGACATGTACTCGTATAATACAAGTGACAGGGAGTTTTACCAATTACGGTAGTTTTACCATTTTAGTTTATTGTAAAATTTTTTTATATTTAAAAAACATTTATTTTCTAGTTAAATAACTTTAACAAGTCAAATACAAAAACCTTGATGTCTATTTATTATCTAGAATTTTTAAATAACATTATGGAAAGTCTGGTAGTCAATCATAAATCAGTCATAAATAAATAAATTAATTATAATTTTAACTTCAACTTATAGAAAGCTAAACAAATATCAATACTAACTTTTTAAATAATAAAATAAATAATAAAATTAATATAACTTGTATTTATCAAAATAACACTTTCCCAAATAACCACTACATCTCAATTTGAACCTAAAGTACAGCAAATATTTTAAAAGTCTTTAAAAACTATTTACTATTTAGTAAATGATATCTAAAAGTACACTTTACATCTACAAATTTGATAACAAATTATTCAAAATATGAGCTCATTTTGAGTTTTGCCATTCATTTCCTGATTCAACAAAAAATTGAATTTATATTTACTTTACTTTAGCGAAATATTACAGAAATAAAATGCCTTCACTATTATCATCAATAAATGTGTCAACCATTGCATTATCAACGGCACTGGTGTGTGCCTTAAGTGGTGTTGCCGTGTATGCCGTCCACAAGGCCTACAGAAAGCGCCGGGAGTTCATGAAAGTGGCGAATGTATGCAAACTAATCATATATCCCATCAAATCATTGCCCGGTATTGAAGTCAATAGACTGGAAGTCACCTCAACTGGTACCAGATATGGACCCTTTCGGGACAGGTATCTAGAGATATATTTAATTAATTTTAGTTTAACTAGTAAACTAGTAAAATAATTATCAATTAAGGTAAACTAGCAAAGCGCCTGGTTAAATGTCTTAATAGCAATAATTTGATAAATTTTGTAATGTTTAGAAAATAATCTAGTTACTTATTTTGAGATCCTGGCTATTGGTTGATAAAGAGAACAGAATGATAACCCAACGTACAGAGGGATGCTCAAAGTTAGCCCTGCTCAGTTTGCAATTTAATGACAATATGCTATGGATTACTGCACCGGACTTACCCACACTTAAGCTAAAGGTTAAAACCGAAGTGGACGATGAAGTGATTGAAACAAAGTATGGACTGTATATAATTAAATAAATGATTCATACAGGGTTTTAAAATGAAATGATAAAAATGTTAACATTAAAACTAATTGAAATGTTGATTGCAATGCAGAGTATGGGGTGACCCAATGGAGGGCGTATACTGTGGTCTGGAAGCGGAGGAATTCTTCGCGCAATACCTCAACAAAACCGGGACTAAACTCATTCAACACATCCCTAAGCAATCGGTTCGCGACGGATATATTCAAGTGAACAATGCAAAAGTTATCAGGAATGCTAAATATCCAGTAAGATTTATTGCAAATTCATAATTTATTATTTAGTAGCTAACATACTAAATTACGTGTGATTAATAGTAGTAAAATTTATTTTTAAAATTAATGTATTAGAGAATTATATAAAAATAGACATCTGTTTGTAACCATGTAAAACTGTAAATATCAATTTATATTAGGGTTTTATTTATGATTTTATTTGATTAATTTGATTAGCAATCAAAATGTGACCAACAAATAATTAAACTATGCTAATATAAATATTAAATTTTTTTCAATAGCCTAAAACTATTATTTTATTCACTGTAGATAATATACCAGGATAATGCTGGTCTGTTAGTCATAAACCAGAGCTCTGTCGATGACCTCAACTCCCGACTGCCTACCGACGCCCTGAAGACCAGTTACCGAAACTTTCGGCCAAATATACTGATCTCAGAGTGCGATGCCTTCGATGAGGACAACTGGCAATGGGTGTCCATTCGGGACGTGGAGTTCAAGCACCTGAAGCCCTGCGACCGGTGTGTGTTCACCACAATTAATCCCGACACCGGTATCAAGAATGGTGTCGAACCCCTACAGACATTACGCTCGTGAGTGAATTGAATGAATTTTGTTGATGTTTTACATGAAACTAATTTCCGGTGATAATCATAGTTACCGTATGGCCACCGATAAGCTCAAGAAAACGTACGGAACTTCACCCCTATTTGGGGCACAAATTGGACCTAAAAACGAGGGCGAGATTTATTGCGGCGATGATGTGCTCGCTGTTTATAAATGAATGTCCGGCTCATATCAGATCCTTTATAATGTTTATTAATTTTGAAAGTAATATAAAATTTATAAAACAAATTAATTGAATTTAAATTGACCTATTAAAATATTGTTTCGAGTATAATTTTGTAATAAATAAATATTTATTTTAAAATACTGTTTATTACAAAATACTTTGACATTTATATTGTTTATTGAATATTATTTCAGGTTTTATTTATAAAAATTTTTGTATTAACCACATAATTGAACAAATTATTATATTAAAAGCCTGTATATTAGGGCATTGCTTATAATATATATTTATTCTTAAGTGCTCATATATCATAGAGTATAACTAGTAATTATCATTTTCAAGTACTTGTACAGATTCTGCACTACAGAATAGCATTCTCTATTGATTAACCTTGATAAGTCTGCACTAAGGGCATTGAAAAACTTGATCACTATATAAGTAAGTGTATTGTCAATAAATACAACTTTTATACTGACATAAGAAATATATTTAAACTCACTTTCTAATAACTTTGTAGTGTGTCAATACATTTTCACAATAATGACTACGGTATATAACTTCATTGGGAAAGTCATACTAATCACGGGCTCTAGCAGTGGTATCGGAGCTACAACTGCCGTGCATTTAGCCAAAGCCGGGGCACAGGTAGTGATCACCGGTCGAAACGCCGCTAAACTACAATCAGTGGCCAAACAGTGTTCAGACGTATCTCCAAACGGCGTCAAACCGTTGGAAGTGTTGGCGGATATCAGTACTCAAGAGGGCTGTCGACAACTGATCGACGCGACGGTCAACCGGTTCTCACGACTCGACGTTTTGGTGAATAACGCCGGCTTTGGACTGACGGCACGGATCACTGATGAGGACTACTTTGATAAATACAAAAGTGTTTTTCAGACTAATTTGGATTCAGTTATACTTTTGACTCAACTATCGGTCAAACATTTAGAGGCAACCAAAGGGTCGATCATTAATATATCGAGTTGTGCGGCCTGGAGGGCGGTATGGCATCAATATTTTAATTTAATAATTAATCTAGCTATAATTAATTAATATGTTTTGCTACTAATAGTCGGATACGCTCTCCTCATACTGTATGTCCAAATGTGCACTGGATATGTTCACTAAATGTGCGGCTATTGACCTAGGTCGAAAGGGGATTCGTGTTAACTCGTTAAAGTAAGTTTTATAAAATTAAATTTTAAATTAATTAAATTAATTTTTTACAATTTGATAGCCCGGGTCCTATTAAGAGCGATATTCTCATAACAATGGGTAAGAGTCAGGAGTTTTCCGACAATTTTTGGGCGGAATCCGGGGCTAAGAATCCGATCGGACGGTCGGGAGAACAGGAGGACATCGCACGGGCTGTCATGCATTTGGCGTCCGATGAAACCGCTTTCATAACTGGTATTAATTATGTGGCCGACGGAGGGTATATGGCTGCCAACGTGGACTTACAAGTTTAGACAACCTGGTACAGTATGGNACAAAACCGGGACTAAACTCATTCAACACATCCCTAAGCAATCGGTTCGCGACGGATATATTCAAGTGAACAATGCAAAAGTTATCAGGAATGCTAAATATCCAGTAAGATTTATTGCAAATTCATAATTTATTATTTAGTAGCTAACATACTAAATTACGTGTGATTAATAGTAGTAAAATTTATTTTTAAAATTAATGTATTAGAGAATTATATAAAAATAGACATCTGTTTGTAACCATGTAAAACTGTAAATATCAATTTATATTAGGGTTTTATTTATGATTTTATTTGATTAATTTGATTAGCAATCAAAATGTGACCAACAAATAATTAAACTATGCTAATATAAATATTAAATTTTATTCAATAGCCTAAAACTATTATTTTATTCACTGTAGATAATATACCAGGATAAGTCTGGTTTGTTAGTCATAAACCAGAGCTCTGTCGATGACCTCAACTCCCGACTGCCTACCGACGCCCTGAAGACCAGTTACCGAAACTTTCGGCCAAATATACTGATCTCAGAGTGCGATGCCTTCGATGAGGACAACTGGCAATGGGTGTCCATTCGGGACGTGGAGTTCGAGCACCTGAAGCCCTGCGACCGGTGTGTGTTGACCACAATTAATCCCGACACCGGTATCAAGAATGGTGTCGAACCCCTACAGACATTACGCTCGTGAGTGAATTGAATGAATTTTGTTGATGTTTTACATAAAACTAATTTCCGGTGATAATCATAGTTACCGTATGGCCACCGATAAGCTCAAGAAAACGTACGGAACTTCACCCCTATTTGGGACACAAATTGGACCTAAACACGAGGGCGAGATTTATTGCGGCGATGATGTGCTCGCTGTTTATAAATGAATGTCCGGCTCATATCAGATCCTTTATAATGTTTATTAATTTTGAAAGTAATATAAAATTTATAAAAAAAATTATGTGAATTTAAATTGACCCATTAAAATATTGTTTCGAGTATAATTTTGTAATAAATATATATTTATTTTAAAATACTGTTTATTACAAAATACTTTGACATTTATATTATTTATTGAATATTATTTCAGTTTTTATTTATAAAAATTTTGTATTAACCACATAATTGAACAAATTATTATATTAAAAGTCTGTATATTAGGGCATTGCTTATAAAATATATATTTATTCTTAAGTGCTCATATAGAGTATAACTAGTAATTATCATTTTCAAGTACTTGTACAAACTCTGCACTACAGAATTGCATTCTCTATTGATTAACCTTGATAAGTCTGCACTAAGGGCATTGCAAAACTTATCACTATATAAGTAAGTGTTTTGTAAATAAATGCAACTTTTATACTGACATAAGAAATATATTTAAACTTACTTTCTAATAACTTTGTAGTGTGTTAATACATTTTCACAATAATGACTACGGTATATAACTTCATTGGGAAAGTCATACTAATCACGGGCTCTAGCAGTGGTATCGGAGCTACAACTGCCGTGCATTTAGCCAAAGCCGGGGCACAGGTAGT